TCCGTTTTTTGTCGTTTAGTAAAAACCATGCGAAACGGCACGAACTTGGTTAGCCGTGGTTTTCAACTAAATGACGTGGTTTTCAAGATGTTTTACTTGTTCTCTTAGCAAAATGCAATAAACAAATGTTTTCTAAACTTGGTTTTTATTTTGGAGAACTTGCATTTTTGACATCGGCTAACGGCGTGACTAAACCAACCATGGGTCTGGCTAAACCAGCCCAACAGCGATGTTGAGGTAATCAACAGCGCTGTCTGGACTGGGTAGCTAAAAACATGGTTTGGCGTTAAGTCTTCCAACAGCGATGTTGGTCACTAGACATCGCTGTTGAGCCAAGGTTGGATTTCCTGGAACAGCGATGTAGGCTTCCCTACAGCGCTGTCCAACATAAGCCAAAAATATAGTGCATTGGCAGAAAGTTTTTGGACAGCGATGTTGACCCAGCAACAAAACTTCCATCTCCAAAGGCAGACCTAAACAGCGATGTTCTAGGATAGAACATCGATGTAGAGACCTGACCGTTGGAAGGAATTTAAGGCTAAAACTTTCCTTGTTTGGAAGTCAACAACCAAAACAGCGATGTAGGGGTTTTGGACATCGCTGTTGGCATGACCGTTGCTTCCCAATTTTTAAAAATCAAGCCTAGAACAGCGATGTCCAAGCCTAGGACAGCGCTGTCTGGGTGAATTTCAGCAGATCATATTTTAATCAAATCCCACAAATTATGCCAATCACCCCTTAAACACTTTGGTCCGTTGGAGCCTATTTTTCTACTATAAAATGGGGTGTTTGGGTCTGTTTTACACAACACATTACTTCACAACTCCTACTCTTTCATTGCAAATCATTCTTCAATTTTTCATAGCTTTTGAGAGCCATTTTTGTGAAGCCTGTGTTGTGTTCTTGAGCGTTCTTAGTTTACTCATTATCCACTCTAAAAGAGAGTATTGTTCTTGAGTGTTTTTAGTGTTCTTAGACACTTGACAAGAGAAGGTATTTCTCTTGTTGTTCGAAGGAAGGGTTGTTTCCTTCGAAGGTTCGTTGAGGTTCGTGTGACTCGAATTCTCAAGTTGTACGGGTTTGTTAAGCACCGTTAAGCTTAACGAGATAGTAGTGTAGCTCGAGAGAGTCTCTCGGGAGGCTGGACTAGCCACAAGTTGTGGTGAACCAGGGTAAAATCGGTGTGCCTCGTTCTTTTCTCTTTACTTCTCGCTTATTCATTTTTATTCCTGCGATTTCTTGATCAAACGCTATTCACCCCCCC